AGATGCACATTTTCAGTAACTTCAAGTCCAATTTCTCTCTTTTCCTGTTTAACATGTGTAACTAAAATGATTTTGTATTGAGCTTAGTGTGCTCTGAAAATGTAGGTGACATACATTGAAACTGTGCCTGAATTCAATTAACCGATCTTCAGTTAACTAAACCGAGATGTCTTCTGTGTATACAGTGAAAGCAGCTAAGGACAGTGAGCTCCATAAACGGACAGATGGGGAAAAGCAAATGCTGACGTGCTGATAAACATGTAGATATGCAGGGTTTGGGTTTTTCTAAGACGAGCTTCTGTAATGAATCTACTGCCAAAAAGGAGATATGAAAAGATCTCCCAATAACTTCCTTTTTATTGTTCTTTTAAAGTCTAACCACTGACTTCTGTTTCTTTATCTTTACACAGAATGGATTCAAGCCTCCACTCGAGATGAACAGAAGTCATGTCTCATCATAAAAGACACAGAGAGGAGAACACTTTATCTGCTCTTTCTATCAGCGAGTGCACTAAAGCCTGAGAGCCCTCCATCACTAACGTAAAAGTAACAGTATAGCTTGCAGGCACACTTCCCTATTAACTTCTGCTTCCCACGGTTTTTATCAGGTTGTGACTGCTGCCTCAGAATAACCATGATGACTGACATGATCTACTTCTGTAAACGGAGTCACTTCAGTAGCCTGGTTAAATAGTTGCTTGCTAGCCCTAACTGATCTATCCAAGAAATAATGTTTCCATTTTTACATTTTGCTTTTATGGAACACTTGAAACAAACAATATATAATATGTTGATAAAATATGTTTTAAACATAAGTAGGCAGATTTATTACGTCAGGCTAGTTCTTTCCCCATTGTTTACAGTCTTTATGGTGACTCTCCTTCAGAAAGTGAATGAGCTTGTCTCCAAATATTTAATGAAGATGCATCAGTTGATCAAATTTACAGATGAAACATGACACAAAAATGTGCTTCACTAAATTTCTACTATAGTAGTGCTAAAACAACAGTTAGTTAAACTCTCTTTATTTCAGCTCAACTCAATCCAAAGTATTTCAAATTTTAAACCTCAAAATATGATTTCTACATTTTTTTTAAGGATAATCCAATACTCAAGTATGACTAATGAGGAGATCTATGCCCCTAAAAAAGTTTGACCGTTTGTCTAAAATAACAACATTTCTTATAATCCGTGTTCCTTACAGCATGTGTCTTTGTTGATGCAAACGTGTGAATGTGAGGGGAAGTGACAGACCACGTGTGTGTCTATGTGTCTGCTTGAGCGACTGTGTGCATGCATGTGACGCCACAAGACCCAGCCATAATCGCTGACCTCACCAACAGCCAATGTGCCCTCCCTGAGCCACAGAGAATAGGGCTTAATCCCGCCTGCACACAACCACGCACACACCACGCAAGAAAAAGCAATACTCCAAAGTTCCCCGAACATCAAAGCACCTTAAAAATTGACCGTATATCAGTGTTTCCAAACACTACAGGAACAGAGACACACAGAGTGTCTTAGCTTTTTTATTTTTGGGGATATTGCCACCATTAAGGCTAGAGATCGGGATCAAACATTTTTATTCAAATCAATATCACTACTGAGACTACCTTAACGATCCCACTTTTAATCCATATAACTATCGAGCGTTTCTAATATTTGGTCAAAAGACGAGACAACATCCCTGTGAACAGAGCTGGTTTAGCTTTTATTGCTTAAGTGTTGGTTAACGTCTTCTGTCACTTTTAGTCATGTGGTGATTTAGAACAGAAGTTTTAACAACGATGTATCATAAGTAGGGCTGTCAGTGTAGACGCATTAATCATGAAGCAATTAAGGTCCAAAATGAATCGAGTTGTAACGATCCATCGATCTGGATCGTAGATGGATTGGTTGACCAATGATCTAATTAAATCACAGGAAGGTCAAATATTGATCTACATCGTCATCTTTATTGGCCTTTATTTTGAAATTCCCGGTGGGCCTGTTTGACAGTTTTTCTGGTCAAACACGTATTGGTTGTTGGTCGTGTCTCGGTCTTGCCCTGCCTTGGTCTTGGAGCACTCTGGTTTCGGGACGTCTTGGTCTCGGTTACTGCGGTCTTACAACACTACGCTGTCCTTTCTCGGATTGATCGATTGTTGTGCGATGTCTCATGTTAAATACAGCCTTTCATATACATATATATCTGCTAGAAGTGATCTAAGCTGGAAAGCATCCCTCTCTCTCGCTCTCCTTATGAAGCCGTTCCGTGTCTGCACTACCCCTCTATTAATCAAACTCAAGGTTCCAGGAAAACAAGAGGTGACGTTACTGATTCAAGTTAAATACATCTGTGCCACATTTCAGTACCAGAGCAGCATCATGTAAGTGAGAAAGAGTTCAGCTTTAAGGAGGTCCACTCCAGACTCAGTGCCTTGGGGAAACTGTTTAAATGGAGTTTAACCAACTTGCCAGTTTACAAAACAACAACAACAACAGTGGTCAACTGTGGCCACATTTTATAGGCCTAGGCCTGAGAGGCAGGTTGCAAGCTAGCCAGAACATGTCTTTACCAGGAAGACAAAATCTGTTTCAGGGTGGGTTATTTTAGCAGATTTATGTTGGATGTTCAAAATGTGGTGACAATGAAAATGTGACTTTCCAAGCAGCCTTTCATAAATATAAAAGAGATATAAACCATGGTATTAGAATAACTGCATATACTTGCAAATCTATGAATTTAGGTGGGTCAAAGTTGAACCAAATTTGTAAACTGCAACGAATGTTTACAATGGAAAGTTTGTTTGTTTATCCTTGTTCTCCTCTTAACATCCCTCTGGCTACCCTGCAGCCTGGCTGAAGCCTGTCTGATTATCTGACTACTGATCTTTTTGGAACAATTTCCAGATCTCATTATTAAAGAATCTTGTAAAACCCTAACAACAAAAACAGCCTAAAATATTAGAAATAAACATTAACATTAGATAAAAACAAGAAAAAAACCTTCGGATAACCATTTCTTCTAGTCTTTTTGTCGGTACTTCAGAAGTGGTGAATGTGTGGGGTTGAGACTGAACGTGCTCCCTGTGTTTGTTAAAAAAACACACACACACAGGCAGTACCAGCATATTTCAGCTCTGATTAAGGACATTGCACAGTGGAGAACTGACTAATGTGTGTGTGTACTTCACAATGACAAACTGTACACAGACTGGCCTTGTGCAAATTTAGTGTGAGAACCGATAAGTAGGTGGGAAAAAAATGTGAGCAACTGTCTTTGTGCTTCAAGTGAGAAAAGAGCAGTCGTCTGTGTGATAATTGCGACCACCACCACACCACACACAACATGATCGCTCTCTGCCAGACAGCCTATAGGATGAAGAGTTTCACCCCTGCTGTTGCCGGGTTACTAGCTCCAGACCATAGCCAAGAAAGAAACTACCACACCACACGCACCCACGCACCCACACTTGATCAAATTGCCTGGTGAGAAAGGTTTTTAAGATCTTTCCTCAAATCAATCTTTTGTTGACTTGGGTGCGGGTGTTTGAGACAGCCAGAGAGGCACAGAGCGAGACAGAGCAATTCGGTCTGCGTCCTCTCCTGGGAAAAGAGCAGCCCAATCAGTCCAGAACTGGCCCTGATCTGAGACTCATGTCATCACTCAACCCGACGGTGGCCCAGCTCTGACGCTTACTCAGTCCAAATACGCGGCATACACACAGTCTGCCACATATTGTAACACTGAGATGAAAAAGAGACAGTGACAGATCCATGGAGATCATGTGCAAAACGAAAAAACATGTGACGACCAAAATAATCAACAGACAAAGATGGTGGGATTCCGGTACATGGCAGAAGGAACGCTTTGACACACCAGACAGTGTTACAGGCTGATTAATGACCATGACAACAAATCTGTCGCAAAATACTGAGGCACAGGTGGTGATATTTCAGCATGTGTTAAACTGCTGCACTACACACACACACACACACACACACACACACACACACACACACACACACACACACACACACACACACACACACACACACACACACACACACACACACACACACACACACACACACACACACACACACACACACACACACACACACACACACACACACACACACACACACACACACACACCACACACACACACACACACACACACACACACACACACACACACACACACACACACACACACACACACGAAGACATTGCAGATATCATAATTCTGAACAAACCACAATTTAAAAGAAAAATGTTAAGACTTGGGTCATATGTTTTAAGTTTTGGTTTTTAAGTTGCAAAGACATTTTTAATCTCATCAAATGGTAAATGAGCTCAGAGGATTTAGCAACAATAGATAGGCCCAAACACAGGATCATGTAACTATTTATGCAGCTATTCAGTTTCCTGCCAGCTTAGCTTTTTGTGACTTATGGCACATATGTATGCAGAAACAGAAAAATGTGTGAATCACCCCTACATAAATAAAGAGGGTCACAGTAGATCCTTGAAGTCTCCTTGCACCTTGCAGGCTTGTTTTTTAGCTACTGATGTCTCTAGCTTTGTTTGACATATTTTTAGCCCTTTTGCATTCTTCCTAAATACCAGCAATCGTTTTTTTAAGGGCAGTGTTGTCACATCTGAAACAAACTTTATCTCATCGTATGCTGCTGTCAAACTTGAGGATATTTTAGGCTAAAAGGTCAAGCTGGCGCAAATACATAACCAGCAGTAACCACAACAAACCAAAAATAGTTGCACACACACAACAGCCAAAGATCACTGAGTCCCATTGTACAACAACAGCAGACCTCCAGCTTCCCAGGAATCTGAACTGACAAGGAATTACAGAGCCCCTGGATCACTGCACTTGTGGAAATTTAGCAAACCAACCTTCTGCTCAGCTGACTCCTCTGAGCAACAATTAGAAAAAATTCAGGTTGATCCTTGACTGTAATGCTGAGCTACACAATGGAGTACCAGATGCACTTACCTCTGGCTGACAGCTTTTTTGTGTTGATAATTTTGGCAGCATACTCCTGGCCAGTGGACTTCTTAACACATCGGCGAACGATTGAGAAGGCACCCCTGAAGTAAAAGAAATCAAAAACCTGACTGACAGACCAGTAAAATCATTTCACAGGCATGACACAAATCTGCATCACATGTGTGTGTGTCATAGGGGAAAGTGAATAGACTGTAGGATAGATGTGTCACACAAAAAGGGCATGCATTAATCACATACAACTAAAGAGGGGAGAGGAAGTCGCATGCATAATTAATACAGTCTGATATTCTGAGTATGAGATGTGAGAAGAGGTCCTGGCTGATCGTGCTCGACAGGAGAGGGAGGGAGAGAGCTCGTTATTATCTCACATGAAGAAAAGGGTTTAAGGCTGTATAAGATATGCATAGACATTGTGCTTAGTGCATGTGAAATTGTCACAATGCAGGACGTGCAAATACACTGAAACACTGGTAACTGACAGCTATAGTCTGCATGCCACCTGCCTGTAAACGTAGACAATATACTGCTGCTATCCAAGAAAATGTTGCCTTGACATAGGAAGCAGCTTTTGGTTATGCAATGCATTCCTGTTTTCAGCTGCGATTTCATCCTGCTTGTGGTATTAATGTGGCTAAATAAATTGATCATTCAAGGAGTGCATTTGCTTCTTAGGACTGCTTTTTAGTGGCTTCACCGTACATCTACAGAGTAAAGATATGGGTCAGAGGCGGTTTGAGATTGTTACCTTTCATTTAAAAAAAAAAAAAGGTAACTGTCACAGAGCTGGTTACTGTATGCAAAATTACACAACATTAAAAACAAAAAAACAAGGCTATAGATGTCGCTCAACCTCAACTCTGTCCACTTGTCATGCTGGTGTCAGAGTCACAGAGGGGAATGAATTAAGTGTGTTAGAAAAAGGACAGGGGTTTGTTTAAAGTCCCAAAGTGGCAGAAATTCTCTTAGTAAATTGAATATATTAACATGAATGATAATGCATATAACTGCCATAACTTCCTGTATATTTTCCAAATAAAAATCGCAAACAATACATCGAAATGTCATTTTTCCATAAAACGGGCAGCATTTTTTTTTTTTAAAGAAAGAAGGAATTTATTTGTCTTCCAAGATTGCTGGTAATATTTCACACACTGCTCCTTTAACCTCATGCTGTCGGCTGTATTGGTAGGCGGAGCAGCTCTATTAGCCACACGCAGAGATTAGATGTTACAAAGTGGCTTTGTAGCCAGAATATACACTGTAACCTATGCGTCCTCTAAAGGTTTTTAATCCTGAATGCAGTAGATTATCGCACGTCCATAATGTGAAACCGTGCGCGCTTGTTTGTTTGTTTGCAGCAATGGATCGTGTCTTCATTTTTTTTCTCCTAGTTGCTTGACATACACAGTTTCCCTGCAGTGTGCTCAGAAATGCACAAAAACAGCGCTGAATGATTAAACAGGAGCGCGAGGATGCCACCAGGCAACGGCGCGTGCTACATGCAGGTGAATTGACAAACAAGTTGTTTCCAGCACGCGGCTGTTTTCGCACCTTTTCTGTTACAAAGAGAGTCCGGAAGATGCGATACAGCTTTAAATACGCATTCAGGGATTAAATGCAAGACCGTATGGGGCTTCACATGAACCTGACCTGTCTACAGCTTTTTGTTGCTCAGGTGTCTCTTAATACTCTACCCATGTTTTTTGACAGCCCCCCCCCCCTCTCGTGCCTTGTCAACACTGAAGTAAGCGCACACAAAAGCAGCAGCAGCAGAGAAGAGATAAACGTGCAAACATACACACATACACACGCACACACACTGAATGCAACAAGAACAGCAGCAGCAGCAGCAGCGCGGGTGACGGTCGCTTACTTTCCGAGCTCCTCATACAGCTGATATTCGTCCGTGAACCTGGTCGAGGTTACCACTGTAGCCATGTTGGGAGAAGGGGGATAGGCTCGCGCTTCACTGGCCGCCTCACGTAGGTTTCGGCAGGAGAGCTCGTGAAGGCAGTGAGAGGGGGAAGAGTCTCGAGCTCACAGAGATGAGTAGGGAGTGGGAGGAGAGCGGGGAGAGAGAGAGAGAGAGGGGGGGGGGGGTTAGCTGTAGTAACAAAGATCTTCTATTAAGATGATGTGTCACTTTTAAAAAAAATAAAAACCAAAAGTGGGCGTTCACGGTCTAATATTATGCATCACCTGATAATGACAGCTTTGGCTCTAAAAACTATGGAAGGCTGCTTCCCGCATTGTGTACAAAGAAAAATAAGTCACAACTTTGCATGATAGAAAAATGGTAGAGCATGAATAACATTTGAAAAAAGTTGGGCCTATAATAAGGCCCATGAGAAAGGCTAGTCGTTACTTTCCATCCAATAAGTAGGCTTTGCATTATTTTATCTCATATGCTCATTCTCTCAATCTAAAAATATATGGGTATATAAAACACAAAAACTGTCTTTTTCAGTTCAATTCAATTCAATCTATTTTTGTATAGCGTCAACTCATAACAAGTGTTATCTCAAGACACATGTCTGTTAACATTACAAAAGAGCAGGTAAGAAGACCTTACTCATTGTTATGTTACAAAAAGGAGGTAAAAGACCTTACTCATTGTTGTGTTACAAAAAGGAGGTAAAAGACCTTACTCATTGTTATGTTACAAAAAGCAGGTAAAAAGACCTTACTCATTGTTATGTTACAAAAAGGAGGTAAAAGACCTTACTCATTGTTATATTACAAAGACCTGGCCTATCTATCATGAGCACTTTAGTAAAGCAGCAAAAGTTACAGTGGTAAGAAAAAACTGTCTTATTAAAAGGCAGAAATCTTCGGCCGGATCCCCGGCTCATGACGAAACAGCCTTCACAGGCCTAGACTGCGCCGGGCTTGGAAAGGGATAGGGGGAGAGATGGGATAAGATGCAGGAAGAGGGATAGGGAGCAAGGGGGTGGGGGGAGGCAAACCGTCCATCAACAATCCGGTGGGAGAGGGGGGGGGGGGGGGTTTCATCTCATGACCACGATTTTTGGATGACATTGTTTGAGATTTCAATTCCCAAAGGTATTCTGGTTTATTCTCATAGTGTTGTTTATATGTTCTGTATCGCTTTTTTTTCCGATTGTACCAGATATGTTGTAGAAAATAGTCACAAAAAAAGATGGTTTTTAAAGAGCCAATGTCATAGTTAAATGGGACTCAAAGAACTTTTGCACCACAGGTCACACTTACCTAATCACACAACGATGGCTGGAAGTGTTATTGTCAGCTATACTTATCCATTCATATGCCACTGTAGAAACAGCAAGAGCAATTTGGGATTAAGTGTTTTGCCCAAGGACACATAGGACATGTGCGTGCAACAGCTGGTGGTGGAATCACCTGCCTTCTGATTGAATGCAACCAACTCTACTTCTGATCCACAGTCACGTCTTGTCACTGGTTGATGTGTTTAGCCTTAATAAAATAAAGTGTTACCAAACTGTCGTGAGTTTGTTTTGCCTACATGATTGTCTACAACAACTTTCAGGACACTACATCCATCACCTGTTCAAATGTTGTCTTTTGTTTTCTCACACGTTAAATAACAGCAGAGTAAGACCTCTTTGTTACTTTCTCCTCTGTGGAAGTAGTGGCGGAGGAGGGGTTGAAGCCACGCGAGATCTTTTCTTAGTGGTGGATTACCAAGAGCTACAGATCTAGGTTCAGTTTTAACAGATCATTCCTCTATCTGTTTTCACATAAAGAGATACAAAAAAACTGACACGAGATCGGCTAGTGAGAGAGCAGCATCCTTCAAACAAACGTGTCTTGTCGGGAGATGTTGCCTTATGCCGCAATATTTCAAGAGCAATGAGCTGCATGCTACGGAAGAGCATTGCATTCACCCATTCACCACCTTACCTCATTATAATGAGATCAGAATCGCGGAATTACGAGATACTTACAAGATATAACATCATGTCCTTTACTTTCCATATGCAACACACATAAAATCCCTTAATTTTAGGCTAAATAGGCGTATTAAAATATGTCAAAGTGAATTATCAATGACAGAAAAGCTAGTTCTTTCTTATCTTTACTATCCTTTAAAAGTCCAGGTGCTGTGATGTCACACTAAGTTATGGTTAATCCTAAGGCTAAATGCATACAGTACTGTGTTTTATGATGCTTTTACTTGTCTGATTGGATAGTACTGATGAAGCCTTTCAGAAAAAATCATCATTTTTTTCATCATCATCATTTTGTTTCCAATTCTAATCCAACCATCATCATAGCAACCTCCCATTGAAATATGTCAAAATGCACCTAAATTCTTTGATTCTTTGATTCATTTATTTTCGTGTCATGCACATAAAGTGCCCAACCCTCACGGGCTTATAAAACACCAAAAAATTCAGTTGCAGTGGTTCACATTTACAAATCATAACATTACAAAGTTCCTGTCACAGTTCAGTCTTAAATAATGTGCTATGTCTTTTATTCCCCGGCTTTACAAACAAAATCTGCTATAACAAAGGTTCCTTTTTTAAAACACAACTCAAGTTTTTCATCATCGTCTAGCCAACAAGAAATCAACATGAATTGAAGACATTCTTTTAAAAAGAACATCCCTGATGTCAGCATACGTCGGGCAGTAAAACAAAAAGTGAATCTCATTTTTTAATTTCTCCTAACTCACACAACAAACAAACTCTGTCTTCCTCTGGAATGGCATTAAACCTGCCGGTCTCTAAAGCTAAAGGCAATGTTCCTGAACGTAGCTGAGCGCAGAGGGATCTTTGTCTTTTGGTTCATTTAAATTTAACCAAGGAATTAAAAAAACTACAATACAAACTCAAGAAAGACAAAAAAACAATCTGTTATAGAGATTTTAACTGTAAACGGAAGCATCGGTGTAGAGACAGAATAATTAGGCTTATGTAATGGCCTGCTGCACTGTAAAGGTTCATCTGAGCATTCATGAATATCTCATGAAGGGTATTAATATATCCTCTTGGCACCATGTTAGTGTGTGAGTGTGTGTGTGTGTGTGTGTGTGTGTGTGTGTGTGTGTGTGTGTGTGTGAAGGTAATTACAGCAGCACAAACTCCAGCAAGGTAATGTGGAAATCTTAGATTGGGAACATATCGTATATACTGATGTTTTATTTTCCATTTATGATGAAAGGGTACAGTCATTGTTCAAAGTTAATATTCACCTGAGAGACTACCGTCATGTTCTTAGATGGAGAGTTTTAAATGGAGTTCTAGGCAGTCCAATTTCTATTTCTTAAAGAAATGTCTGTTTGTTTTGAAGAAGTAATGTGCTTTACAATAACTAAAACAGATAATTGCTCTATATAGTTAGAGGAATTCAACTCTATCAAAAATAGTTCATATAATGACAGTAATCGTTCTGATAATTTCATATATATCATTGTTTCTACAAAAGACAGGGTGCTTTACGAACTTGTTTTTCACTAAAGCACTATCCTAGCATCTAACTTAACAACTCATTAAAAGTACAGTACATTTTTTAGAGATGTATGCACAGGTATTTTTTTCAGGTTGAATTCTGCTCCAAACACCTTCACCAAGTTAGTTAGTTCATACGACAGTAAATGTTTGATTTGAGGATGATCAAAAAAAATTTAGCATGCAATTTGGCCCATTTAGTAAGTAGCCTATGTAAAGCCAAAATGGCTAATTTAATTTAAAAGGTGCATCATTGACATGTTCACAATCTAAACTTAAAAAAAAATGGACATATACAAAATATTCATGTCCAACCCTTGGGCACATGTTTTTTTCTTTTTTACAAATCTATCCCAATGATAAAAAACGATTTAATTGGTCTTCTGACTGTATGCCTGCGAGGCAAAACATCGGACAAGAAATGCTGTCGGGCAATAACTGGTTTAAAGCATATAAACATTTTTATTAAGTAATATATTTTCCAATCTTGACATAGACTATGGACACGTTTAAGTAAGACAGACATTTAGTATAAGGAGGACAATAAAAATAATGTTTTTCCTTGTACTCTATTTAATATTAATATGCAAGATCCTTTTACAAAGATCACCCTACCTTTTTGAATCGACCAATTTCAATGGCCAGAGGGAGAATACCAGATCTTAACTGTGTGACCAAGGATCTTCAGCTTCTAGATAAATGACACATTACATATAACTTGGGCATAAAATTATTTTTGATCTGTACATATGTCCTTAGTTTTGGCTTGGACAGAGCGATTTCAAACCATTTGTCTTCATACTTGATCAAGAGCTTATCTTTCATGGAGTTAATGTTACAGCACAGATTATTCATGTAAATATACGTCATATTGAGATTGAGTAAAGCTCATTCGCCCCTGCAGAGTTATTTTTTTGCTCCACATAAATACTTTCTTGTTTATTCAGTCCTCTGCCATTTTGGTTAGTCGATTCCACAATCGTGGTCACTATGTAGTATCATCCATCAGAAGTAAATAATTCCATTCATACACCGCCACCGAAGCAGCGGGAGCAATTCAGGATTAAGTGACTTGCCCAAGGATACATCGGCCATGTTGCCCAGCTGGGGTTTGAACCCTTAACCTTCTGGTTGAAAGGTGACAACTCTACCAACTGAGCCCATGCGGGCTGAGCCACGGTTGCCCCAAGTCAGTACATCATGTCAGTTACATTTTTTAGATATAAAACAAACACTGGGAGAAAATGTTCAAAATTTCACACAAAACAGCTACAAATTATATTATACTGAACATGTTTCAAGCAAACATGTTTGCAGTGTTTTCCCTCCTCAGATCACTGTGCTTTGCTTCTAATCTGTGAGAGCGCATATCTGGAGCAGTGTTAAGAGAACTCTGCTGGCGATTAATGAGTGTTTGCTGTGAGCACAGGAGCACTGTGGCCACTTTCTGCCATAATTACAGGGAGCCGCTCTGATATGAAAGTCTAATTAGTGAGAGTTCAGAGGTACCGTCGTATTAATTGCTGAATCGCTGTGTTTCTCTGTGATGTGCCTGTCAGGAAAGTCTTGGGCAGGCTGTGGCAGGTTGAAGGGTGGGTGGTAACAGTGGTAACAGTGATAACAGTGGTATACAACAGCAATTTTCAAACTTGTGATCCCTTGAAATGAAGCTGTTTTTGCTGCAAACACCTGTTACAAGATGTATATCCTTGTGAGGTTTGAGGATTTTCACCATAAGTGTTTTCTCCTCTAATCTTAATGATTCATTTAAATTAGCTTACTATCAGAACCTGAGAGCAGTACATGATTAGTTACTGAACCAAAAAAAAAGCAAAGAATTGAAACATGAATGGATTCTTGTTGCCTTGTTGATAATCAGACTTTTCCCCTCAAAGGTCAGTAGGCCTATGAAAAGGGAGAAAGGATTGTCACATCCTCTGTAGTTTTTCTGGGAGCTTTTATGATTTTAGCTCTTTTAAGGGATGTAACAAAGAGCACTTGTCCTTTCGTTAGGGCACAAGTAACTTGTTTTATTTTTCATTAAAGGTGGGAGGTGACTCTAACTCTAACATAGATAACCTTTGTTGTGGTGACGTATTCGACCTCTTTTTAGGTTCTATGTTATCTGGATCAAGAAAATTCGAATCTTGATCCAAAAGGCAACTGGACCTTTAGAATGGAGCTATGAATTCTCAAAGTTGTCTTGTCTTCCTTTTTGTATAACTCCCTCCTTGTCACATGACACTGCATTATTTAACAGATGAAAAAAAAAACAAAGCCTATACAAAATACTTGCACATACAGTAAGTATTGCTTAATAAGGTCACGCTAAATCACAAGCTTTAGTTAAATGAAATTGAGTTATATGCACTCAATTTACTTTTTAAAATATGTACTTACCAGTGTGTACTGTTTTCTTTTTACCCCTTTATAGTTCTATTCCAGTAGATTTCATGGAGGAACTTTGTTCTTCTCTGCCTTTCTTTAAGTGACCTTGAATGTCCTTATAAACTATGTGATCAACTTTTTAATGTGATAAAAATGAAAGGCAAACCCACACAGGTGTTTCAAGTTATGTGACTGATTAGACCAACTTACGTTAGAGCTTTTAAAGATATATTGGATATACAATATGTGAGGTCATCCTGTACTATTGAAGTTTCTTTTTGTCCAACATCAGAGCAAATTTTAATTCTAACTATATATGGTACTATGGTATATTATAAAGACCAAATAAATGAGTGTAAGTAGGAAGAATACGTAGCTGCATTAAACCATCTCAAGATTTTCATTAATGATGCCAGTGTTCATGTTCTATGAAAAACTGAAACAGTTGATACTGATTTATGTATTATGATTAATAACAAATCCTTATAATTATTAATAGTTGATTTATCTTCTCAAATACTTAACGTTAATTTCATTACCAACGATCTTTCAGTTCATTTACAAAAACGTATTCTACTGTTCTCATGATCCTAAGGCTCTTTGTGTTGATTATATTGTCCAGCAGTATTTTGTAACCCTATGAGGCTGAAGGGGAGTGACTCATTCTGCAAGAATCTTTTCAACTTGGCTCGTGGCGTTCTGTGTATCTTTGGAGAATCTCTCCACACTCACATTGGCCACTGACATAACAAGACTTTATTGGTTTTGATGGGTGTGTGTTTTTGTGCATCCCAGGGTGTGATCACTGTCATTCCCTGGCATAACACCCAGAAAAGACCACCCTATCTGCTGCTGAACGGATGTAATTCAGTGATTTTTTTTTTTTCAAATTCAGTTTACAGTTTTCTTGGGAACAGTTTGTCGGGTACAGTACATTAGACTGGACATGTTACCAGTCTTTAATGGGACATCAGGGTGATTTTACTGGGTAATGGGCTGGAAATTATGATGCAAGGGACTCCGGTAAATGTGTCCCAATCGAGTCGTTGATACCTCTCTGTCTTACTGTGTGCAGAAAAACGGCTGCATTTACCTTCAGTGTGGGGTAAATAACCATATTAAGACCACAATAAGAAAATAAAAGTTCTATTTAAATCAGAGCGACAAGCCTATTGTGTATAACTTCACGACTTTACCTTCGATTGATTATCCAACAGTGAATATGACAGCTCTCGCCCACGTACTGGATCGCAGCGTGTGTTGAATTGTGTGAATGTTTTTGTGTGTGTGACACCTCCTCCGTGATTTATATCATCTGACGATGCTTTATTTCCATGGGCCATCACAGTGTACTGGGAATCAGATGAGTGGGCAACTAACAATTGTCTTCCACAGTTACTCACATGAACAGAACTCTGAGGGTCTCTGAGCAACGTTCCTGCCGTTAACCCTCTGCGGTCTCATCAGATCCCATCACTGTAGTCTGGTTTTGAAGGTTTGAGGTTTTCGCACAGTGTGTTTGTTGCATGCATATAGAGGAGATAAAGGCTTTCAGCTCCAGTGCTCCTCATATACTGTAAGTCAAGAGCTGTGCAAATGTAGTTTCTATAAGAACAGAAAGCCTTTGGTTGTTTGATTTCTAGAACTTCCCATACAGATGAAGGTCACTGAATCTGAGCTTCTTCTAATGTTTGGCCAACAGTGCCGATAGCTTTAGCCACTCTATGTGTAAACTGAGTAGGAGGCTTTAACATGAAACCCTACACGTTTATTTTATTACCGCTATACAGCATGTTGCTTATCAACAGTGATGTAACTGTGTTTGTATTTTAAAGGCAGGGTTGGTAATTTTCTTAAGGTACACTTTTTTAGATGTTGGTTGGAATAGTCTCAGGGTTAATAGGTATTTTGTTTCCATTTTTATTCTTCTTGTGGGAATATTTGGTAATCAGATAGCTGTATTCAAACAATTGTAAGTTCAAAGATTTTACAACATTAAACTGTGTATGTGTATTATGTGTATGAAGTGAGGCTTTTTCTCTGAAAAGCATTTTAATCTGATCTACAGTAAAAGCACTCCAGACATGACAGTTCCCTGCTACCCCTGGGGAACTCCTTCCTCCTGCCTCTGCTCTTTTTATCTAACTGTATGCTGCAGAGCTCTGAGCAAAAAAAATGGCTAATACTCCTATCTTGATCTTCCAAATGAGCACGACTGACTGAGTAAGATGGGGAGCAAATTGAGAAAAAAAGACAAGAGGAGGGTATGCAGAGGGAATGAACAGAGAGCTGAGGGATTTGGAGGGAGGAGGGAGAAGTGGAGGAGTATTAGTTGACCAGAGGGAGAAAAAAAAACAGAGAAATTGAATATTCATTATCAGGCCAATGCTGCAGTTGTGTGGGATTGCTGCTGACACTCACAGCCAGACACACAAACACTCAGAATGAGACACACTTCTAAATTACCTCTATCATTATCTATATCTATTTCTCGGGAGGGCAGGAGCTGATCCAAGCTGTCATTGGCGAGAGGCGGGGTACACCCTGGACTGTTCACCAGTCAATCACAGGGCTGACATTTAGAGACAGACAAACAGCCACACTCACACGTACGGGCAATTTAGAGTCACCAATTAACCTAATGAGCATGTCTTTGGACTGTGGGAGGAAGCCTGAGTACCTGGAGAGAACCCCTCGCATGCACAGGGAGAACATGCAAACTTGAACCAGGAACCTCCTCGCTGTGAGGCAACAGCGCTAACCACTGCACCGTCGTGCAGCCTCTAAATGATCTGTATTAGATTATTCTGTACCTTCTGATTAAGTTCCATATAGGATTTATTGCAGACACAGAAATGGTTTGGTTGGTAGGAATGAAAGAGTGGCTTGTTGCACTTTCCTGCAAAGGGGCATTTTTCATATCCCTTTTCAAAAGTATTCAAATGAATATTTACTTGTTTTTTTTAATGTTTTCATTAATGTCCCAAATCTAATAGTACTCCACTGATTTAGCTTTGCACCATGTTTTGACTCTCAATGTTCAGTTGTTATTTAAAAAGAGGAGAACTAGATAGCCTATTGTATTTTGACTTCATGCATTGTTCTTTATTGTCAAACCTGGAACCTATATTACCAACAATGCAACACAATTGCAGCCAGTTTAGTAGGGAATAGGAATATTTAATTCTAGTAGCAGCTAATGTAGCCCCCTTTCCAGCCTAAAAAAATATGAAGTGTTGGGTTACAACAATTCTGCAAGTCCTTGTTCCATAAATAACATCCATCGTACATCAAGTACCAAACATATCAAACACCAAACTTTCATTACTGCATTCGTTTATTCTTGTTTCTTTTTTACCTTATTCTTCATACATGTTGGCTTAATGCCTTTAGACAAATTTCTACATTAGGCATTTTAAGGTAACCAGATTTCAATAGTCTTGCTACATTCAACATAATATCACGCATGTGTTGGGAAACATCTTCAAAATTGTTCGAAAAATAAGTAAAATATTACAGAGCAGGAAAAGAACAACCTTTTTTTAATATATCAATAAGTTTGGGCCATGACTTACTGCAGAGAAGTTTTGCAGAGACTTTTTGTGAAGACTTTGATTTGCGCCTATGATTTTACTTAGATAATTTGAATGGTTTACAACTTAATAGACAAGGTCAGTGATATTCAAAAGTCCAGAAAGGACAGCTGAGCTTTAGTCAGTTGGTCATAGCTGCTGGGAATGGACATCATGCTTTGGTCATTGGTCTTTCAAACAGAGCAGTGTTCCACATAATGAGTCGAAGAGAATCTATATGACCTCTAATAACAAGAGAACAAGGTGACATTTGACAGAAAACATCCCCTGTGGGTGTCTTTGTGTCATCCTTTAAGGGTCCTCTTGGATGATTAGGAGATGAGACATCGAGTCATGTTCTATGCTTTTCTTCCTCTTCACATCTCTTTAGGCATTGCTTCTACATTCATGCACTCTATCTTTACTATTCATGAAAACAGCTACACATACACAATGACACACTTGTTCCATATGCAGTCCAACGACAGCCCAAAGTCACCCTGCTGCAGTTTGGCCACAGGACTGTGAGTGACTCAGCTTGCTCAGTCATCCGCAGAGTTCTGTTTGCTTTGTTTTCAGGCTGCCTGTTTATCTTCCGATCATTAGAATTTGATTCTGGGTATATCTTGTCTGTCGGAACTGCTAGCTTTTCTCCTGACATTGTCTCCATCTCTCTATCCCTTTATGCTTGATATGGTCAAGAGGCCTCAAATGGAGTCCTATCACCATTTATATGATTAATTACGTCTCAATGATCCTTTTAGTCCAAATACTGTTGATTAATTTAGAAGAGAGTGTTTCTCTGCAGGCGTGACCCCACCTTCTTGAAGAGAGCTTTTAATTTGCATAGTTTACAGTGCCTAATCTTCATTATCTTTCCTTTTCTGCCATCATCTTCTCCATTCCCTCCCTCCTGCCCCTCCAGGCCTAGCCAAGGGGTCCAAACCCCTCCATGAAGTTCTGGGTCAGCCATAGGATCATCTGGAGGATTCCTGGCCGTCACAGCAGTCTGGTTGTACTTTGCCAGTCTGATCAGGAGATGCTTCACCACCTCTGGACGAGCTTCTGCCAGGTCTGATCTTTCATATGGATCAGCAGTGATATTGAAGAGCCAAACTGACTTCCCTGGCTCATTTCGTTGTTTCTCAAGTCGCTGCCAACGGTCTGGCCCATCAGGAAGAGCCTGTGGGGGGATCCAGTCCCCGTCACCCACATTCCCTGTCAATAGTTTCCAGTCCCCGGCCCTTATCGCTGCCCTTACGGCGGTGTCCCAGATCCCGAAGCCGTTGAATAGTGCCTTGTCATAAGGCTCCCCAGGCTTCCTGGAGACTGGGTCGATGTTTAAAAGTATTTCAGTTCTTGGAGAGACGAGGCCTTCACTGATGGTTCTCCACACATTGTGACCATCCAGGCTATCGTTGGACTTCATGGCCCCAGCTAACCCCAGTAATGTTGGAAACCAGTCAGAAACATGGATCAGTGCTTTGCTGACTACCCCCTTCCTCTTCAGGAGGGGGCTATGGACAAATCCTACAGCCTTGATGCCCCCTTCCCAGTAGGTGCCTTTACCTCCTCTCAGGGGCCAATTGCTCCCCCCAGAGAGTGGTTGACCGCCATTATCAGATGAATAGATCAGAACTGAGTTTTGGTACAGCCCACTAGTCTTAAGTTCCTGGACCACTTGTCCAACCCCGTCATCCAGGCAGCTCAGCATGGCTGCATAATGGCGTCTGAGACGATTGCTCTGAGAAGCATATTGGTGCAGAAAATAGTCTGGTACCTGCAAGGGTGTATGGGCAGCCTGAAGGGACAAATAAAGGAAGAGTGGTTTCTGGGGGTTGTGGCTCCTCAGGATCTGCTTCACTCTAGTTGGACAGAAAGAACAGTAGTAGGTTTTAAACGTTTTTACAAGTTTATCGGAATCTGTGAAATCCAATGTATACCTTGATGCTCACCTCTCAATGTAGAGCAGAGTGGAGTAGTTGCCTGTCATCTCCCAGGCAGGCCTGTTTCCATCGTGCAGGTCAAATCCACAAGCTTCAGCCCCGTCGCAGCTCTGATAGGAATAATGGTCTCCACTGCCAGTAAGAGTTCCAGGAAACTATGAAAGCCGCGTCCTGTGGGCAAGCAGTTTGGCCTGCAGAAACCCAGGTGCCATTTTCCCACCATGTGTGTGGCATATCCAGCTTCAGCCAGATGCTCTGGTAGGGTGGGAATTTCCAGGGGCAGGCAGAGGGGTTGACGGGATCGGATGATTGAATGCTGGAGTCCAGTGTGGATTTGGTAGCTGGCAAGATAGGGAGAGAGTCTTGATTGATGTATGATAACACATCAATGGTAGATTTCACAGACGGTTTGAGATTCATCACATCCCTGGCTACTCTTCACTGCAACACATTATCAAGCCAAAATATTTGCTTATTCATTTCAGAATTTATAGGAAAGTACGAAGATGTAATCTGGTCACTTTGGCAAAGATCGGCAGAATACTCAAAACTTTTAGCACTATTTGAAATAACACAAGGTGCTTTGCCAAAAGCTTGTTGAACAGTGTTTTAGTCTGTGGATTTACACTTCAAAAAGCGAGATAAATTGCAGGTGATATTCTGCAAAGGGTGAGACAACAGCCTTTCATGTCTCTTCAGCTGTTTACACAGAGAACAAAAATTACAAGATATTTTCAGTTTTTTAGCCAAAATCATAATCAGTCACATTTTTATATCAAGTTTTAAAACAGGATAGTTCTTCAATAAAATTATATTTTAAGATAATGTACCCCTTTTTTTGCCCAATTCCTACCTACAACAGGTATTTTTTGAAGACAGTAATTTGAACATTTGAGCTCAATGCCTATAAAGCATACATAATCAAATCCTATGAGAACAGATGCAGTTACAAAATCAGTTTAACATCCTAACAATAATATATAAAGACATTTCTCACCGCCCGGTCATTAGTTGACTGCGAGAGGGGGAGCAGATTGGCTGGACGTAATAATTTTCAAGTTTGACCCCATCTTCTGCCAGTCGGTCCAGTACAGGCGTGTGGATATCTGAGCCGTGGTAGCCAATGTCTCCGTAACCCTGGTCATCCACCATGATAAAAATAAGATGTGGTGGTGTGGAGCCCTCCACCTCCCCTGTGCCAACGCAGTCATTCGTAGACTTGTGTTTTCCCAAACAGCCAAGGACATTAAGCAAGGTCACCTCAACCATCAGGAGAAGCACAGAGCATATTCCTCCCCTCATCTCCTCTAATGCTGCAAAGCTATTCACTAAACTTTGATTTTGTCCGTATTATTATTCTGTTTAGACTGCAGTCAATAAATCTTAAACCGAACCTCTTTTGCAGAAAAATTAGCTGATCTGTGTATCCAAGGAGCTCGTCCTAAACTCCTGAAGTCTTTTCCTGAGGGTAATTTTTGGTTTTGTGAAATGGGGCTGAGCTGGTGCCAGTAGCTGTGGTGGGTGGAAAAAAAGCATTCTATAAGAGGGGTAAGAAGTTGATAGAGAGAGTGTGTGTGTGTGTGTGTGTGTGTTGTGTGTGTGTGACGTGTTTTCGAGTGAGAAAAGAGACACTGAGAAAGACTTCGCTCTTTGCAGTACCTTGTTACATTCTTCTATATTTGCCTCATACTGTACGATGCCCAGGAAATCCTTGGCAACTGAAATACACACCCGCTTGAACACACACACACACACACACACACACACACACACACACACTGGACATACTATGCAGACAGTATGGAAAGACACTGTTTCCTAGGCTAAAACTTGAACTATCCCTAATTCGCACCTCAGGATAAGAAAAACATACTAAAGTCAAGAATGGTCAACTTTTTGTTATAACAGTATGAAACACAAAATTCAATCTCTAATTTTTGTCACATGATCACAAACATCTGAAAATGTAAAAAAAAAAAAAAAAATAGTGGGGCAAATATATATAAAGGGGCATTTTCGTCAGTAAGGGTCATTATGCTAATCAGTTATATCAAAAGGGAAGCGACCTGTCTTACTCTCATTTTTTTCTCAGAGGTGCCTTGTGTTTGTGTGAAAAAAAAAAATTAAAGTTTTATAATCTTATTTTACTAAAGGTCAACATGCCTCTTTTTGCTCTGGATAATTCACAGAATTGTTATGACGGTTTCATTTAAGGGTGGGGGAGAAAATCTATCTCAACATGAACAATTACAAAGCTAGAAACCAGTTAGGCAGAATATTTTTCAAGCTGATCCATAAAAAAAAGAATATGTATTACTATTACTCCTCCTACTCCCTCTGGTACCCACCATT